TAAGACATTTTTTATGTTCATACTTTCTAACCGAACGGTCCTCCGTAGCTCAATCGGTTAAGGCACATCAGGCTATATGACTTTCTGTCTTTTGGTTGTTTTCTGGGTATATAGCCTAAGTTCAGCTGAATTGACTTCCGCTTTACCACCGGAACTCACTGAGATCCGATTCAAGAAAGCAGTGTGGGAGCAATAAGGGAAATTGTAGCAAAAAGATCATTTATATTTAGAACCAGAAAAAAAATTGGAACATACGATGGGAAAACAGGTCTTGGAGATTCTACACGTCACAGGAACGTAAACGGATGAGATGGAATCAGTGAATAATCCACCAATTTACTTGTGTAAATGTATCGGAGAACAAAGACTAAGCCATCCTGGGTATGACGAGAAACTACATCCGGCAGCAAGGCTTCTGATCGGAAGGTTTTTAGGAGCGTGGAACCACCCCTTAATTGCTGGTGTTCCTAGGCCCACCCTAATCTGGGGTGGTAGCATCTGTTAGGGTCCCAGCTATGGGCAAATAGTTAACCCCAACTTACCAGCTACTTTTTAAATATTACTAGCTATACATTCTTTAAAAAAATATTACCAGCAATACATTTTTGAAAAAATTACCAGCATTTAATGTGACTGTCGACAAAAACCATCTTTACAAAAATATTTCAATGAAAGCTGATCTCCTACAAACTGTTTTTTTTTTACAAAGAATTCATATGCTATTCATATGAATCTATTCAAAAAATCGTGTAGGCATTAAATAACCCACTGAGTTTGATTCGCCGTAAAACTAACGAAATCAAATTAAACCAAATAGAGACTAAGTAATCAGATTTATTAGAAGTACAAAAGATAAGAAGTTCTGGAAAACTATAGAAAAGAGATGACACAATTTTAAGATTGATTTTGCTAGTGATTTGTTGCACCTACAGTTTCCCATGTTCTTTTTTATCTTATAATATAAACTAAGTATTTGCTTCCTGAAATACCAGAGGTCCGAATCGCATTTAATGCCCATCAGGCATCTTTGAACTAAAAGTCGAATTTTGGTGACCTTACCTTGTACTGTCCTTACCATTAGAGATAAGAAATTAAGCTTTGCATTCGCTGTCACATCAGAATATCAAAACTGCTTGGTACCTCAGAGGGTTGAGCTAAAAGGTTTCATCATAATCAATCAGGTCTCAGAGGATTTCGGTGTCTGCAACGAGATGAAGAAGTCAACTTAACGTTACTTAGGATGTACGCTCAAAAGACAACAAGAAGACGAAAAGTTATATAAACGCCTGACGTGTGTGAATGAAAGAAAAGTCACTCACAGCCTAAAGACAAGATCGAACGTTCGAAAAAAGGCCAGAAACCACATACCCCTTGAATGGACGACGTTAATTTGACGTAGTGAAGAGTTGAATAAACAATTATTTTACATCTGAACAAAAATTGTCTTGTCTTGATGGGAACCTTCTGGATTCTGACTCATTCGGACCGGCTGACAATTTCCGCTGGCCTGAAGTGGAAAGATTATATTGAATCAGTTGCTAGGTCTTCTGCGAGGAAAGTTGATTCACTGGTTATTGTCCTGGTTATGACGATAAACTACATCAGGCAGCAAGGCCTCTGAATGGGTGATTGGAGGATTTGATGAGCAAGGAACCACTTATTAATTGCCGTTGTTCCCAGATCCGCCCTGACCCGGGTGATAGCACCTGTAAGGTCACAGCTATGGATAAATAGTAACCACCCACAAAAAAGGAAAAAACACTATGAAATTATATCAATACAGCAATATATTTATAAAGTAAATTAGTATCAATATCTATTTATAGTCAAATTAACTACAATACCTTTTAAAGCAAAATGACCAGCAAAACATTTTATAATAGCATTACCAGCAGATAGAATTACCAGCAGATAGAATTACCAGCAGATAGAACTGACCAACAACACATTTTACCTGAATTTGAAGGCATAAATGCGTATTCAAATTATTTAATTTTCGGTTTTAAATAACCTATAGAGGTTGATAGGCGGCCAAACCAAAACAACTAATTAATTAAAAGTGATAGTCGTAACTTAACTGTCATTGGTACAGTAAATGACATTGTCATGCCGAGTTCGAATTCCAGCCGAAGCAGTAGCTTGTTTTCGCACATATAACTTTGGTAATGTATGCATTGATCTTTTTCTCCAGCCCACGATGAGTAGACTAGAAGGGCAGACCGGGATCTCTGTCGAGAACAAAATCAACACTGACACGAAACAAAAATCTCTGGTAACAAACGCTAACAATACCATCCCCCGCCACCAAAACCTACTTGCTACCGCAACAAAATCTACTGGATTGAGTCTGTAGACAGAGATTTAGCAACGAGAAAGATGTTTAAAGCTTTGAAATTTACAGGACATTCTGTAAATATGAAACAGGAATTCAGTTTTCTCACATCGATAGGAACTTCCTTCGTCTTTATCCAACTACTGACACCTGTACGTTACTTGGTAGCATTTTACTCGGAATTAATGCAATCAAATCAGGCAGTGAATTTTATAAAATCGATGGAGCTGTAACGATCAGTGTAGTATAAATAATTAAAAGATGGTTTCTCACGCATCCATTCCTAAATCCACTTAGTGAACTAGTGAAAACAGCGTAAAATTCAAGTATCAGCTCAAACTTTTGTCCGGGTCAAAAGAGCTGGCGTGATCTCAGATTTCGTAAAAAATAGGCCAAAAAAAATAAGTAGAATATTTTCTAATAAATAATCTTGACGACAACGGTGTCAACCGACATATATGTATTTATTTATAAATCCACGTCGGCAAATATCATATACGGTTTTATTTTAAAGTGAGGCTCTAAACGCTTAACCACTGTAAGGTTGTCTCCCTGGGTCTTTTCTCTAAATACTTTCTTGTTAATTGTTCTGATGACCTCTTTGCGTGTAAATAGTTGTGATTTCATATTGTAAATACTCATTTGGGCTTCTTTTTGAATTATTGCTTTATCCTCCTCACACAAACAATGAATTGTACATATGGGGACTAGTTAGGACTTTCACAGAGACAATGAGGTATTATGGTGGATGCAGTAAGAAAGGTAAGTAAGAATGCGTTGTTTTGGTGTAAGGAATATTATTGTATGTTTGGGTCAGTGTTTGTAGCTAGGTAAGTTTAAATTTAAAACAGATGAAGACCGTCCTTTTCCCCATTGCGCCACATTTTCTATATTGAAGGCAGAAATAAATATCGCTGTTTTCTATGGGGTATAGATTTATTTTAAATTGTTGTTTTCTTCCCTCCGCCCACATACAAAGAATTGTACATACAGGGACTAGTTAGGACTTTTATAGACACATTGACATATTATTGTGGTTGTAGTAAGAATGGTAAGTAAGAATGCATTGTTTTGGTGTCATGAATATTGTGTTATGTCTGGGTCAGGGATTGTGGCTAGTTAAGTTTAAATTCAAGACAGAAGAAAACCGTCCTTTTCCCTATTCATCATTCTGGCCTTGTGCCACATTTTGAAATATCACTCTTCGCTATGGTACCTATAGTTTTTCCATCTAAGCGCAGTACTAGACTAGCGTCGAGATCTCATCAATTTACATGTGAGTTGACTAAATGTAACCATAAATCCTATGTTAACAGTTTCTTCCCTCGTACTTCTCGCTTGTGGAACTTCCGGCTTCATAATTTCCAGTCAATTTTAATCTTCAAAAATTGATGCAATTTCAATTGCTATCTACTGTCTTCCTGATTGTTTTTTTTTTTTCTGTTCACATTCATTATTAATGTTTCTGTTTTCTAATTCTTCCACAGCCAATGGCGTTTTAGTGACTTTACTGCCTTGGATGGGGTGAGCTTGATTAAAAAAATAGGTGTGAACAGATGTAATAATTACTCAATCCCTACAAAATTTGCAGCAAAGGTGCCAGTGAGAATTAAAAGCATACACGTTTAGCACAATACACATTAAGGTCAATGACGAGAATTGCAATCAGATCAATAACAGGAATTGGAATCTCCAGAAGCCAAAATCCATGTCGTCATCGGATAGAAAATAACACGGATTCGAAGAGCTGAGATATAAGATTTTGGTTTTACGATATCAAACAATTTTTCCGTATTAAATATCGGATTTTCGCACGGAGCACCTAATGACGATTGAATTCACTACTCAAATAAGCTTTACCTGATTAGTTTCACTACGCCTTGATTGTAACGAAATACAATTAGGCTCAGCGAATTAGCTAATATGGTGTTGTTTTGATTGGTTGATTTTGTTGAGCGTCATATCAACCTCGATGGGTTATTTCATGGCTAATCTCAGTATTTTTGTATACAATTTTATTTTATTTTTGAAAATAATAATAGTTTGTTGATATATCTTACTAAATAAGGAATATCTGGGGAATAAGTTGGAGTTATACATTTTCTAAGTGTTGTGATATCCTCCTTCTAAAGAGTCTATATTAGACTCTTCCGCCTACTATAAGATTAGTAGGAGAGTAAGCCTTGGGGGAACAATCGCCTAGATTGTTCAACTGTCCAACTCTCTGCCTCGACAGTGAGGAACCCGGACGAAGCTTTGCCGAAGGGTAAAGTTTCGTCCGGGGAGGTAGACAGGCCCTGAACCCGTTTAGGCGGGTTCAAAGGGAATATTTTTGCCCGAGCCTACGGGCTCGGAGAACCCACGGTAAAGTCGGCCTTGTGCACACATACATCCCTCGTGGGGAGGCTGTTAAATATTAACAGTTTAATAGATTGATCACTAGTTCATACGATACACTCTCACTAGTGTAATATTCATCTGGTGTACTTAATATTTAATATACGATATATCTGCAAAGCTGTTTTTTGTTATTACTTAACTATTTACTTGGTTACAACACTAAGAGTGTTTCCGTGTAATTGAATATAACGAACCCGACTGGAATGGGAACTCCCCCCACCGATTAACAATTCTGGGTCATTATCTATTACACAACCACACATCCAAGCTTACAGCAAATGTTACTCCCAAGCGGTCACCCATCTACGTACTGATCAGGCTCGAGGTTGCTTAACTTCTCTAATCGTACGAGAATCGGTGTCTGAACGTGATGTGGCCGTAAACCAGCGAAATAAAGAGAATGAGCCTTTAACTTGGTATGGCAACATGAAGCGCCTTTGGTGTGACATTTTTATTTATCTCGACTGGCGTCGGGATTTAATCAATTGACACTTGATCTGTCTAGATGTATCTGTAACGTCTATGCTGACATGTTATTTTATCGCACTTCTCTCTTGTGGAACTCCCTTTCGGTTCGAAGATTTGCAGCCAACTTTAATCTGCAAAAATTTAAATGCAATGTCAATCATTATCTACTGTCCTCCTGATTACTATCTTCTCTTTCTTCTCGTCATTAATGTTTCTGTTCCTAATTCTTCTCCGCTCTGTAATCTCCCTTGTGTCTTTATGGCATTACTGCCTTACTTTGGGCGATTCTCATAGTACAACTGAAATTGGAATTCTGAACTCATTGGCGGTACAATAACATGTTTGTTTTTTTCTTACTTTACTCCCCTAGAATTACATTCTTGGTTGTAAAGAGGTAAATACAAGGAAAGTAGTGAGGACATAATGACAAAATACATTATTATATTCGTATCAGTTGGTTAATATCGTGTAGAAAAATCGATAAGTACTTTTTTCGCGCTAAAGATATTTTGGTAAGATTGATTTTTGTGTTTTGTAACAGATTAACGATTTTTGCGATTCTAAAAGGGCAAGTTTATTTCTTGCATTTTCTGTCGCAACTGCCTGCAGTTTCATATCAAAAGGATTTTTTTTTACTTTCAAAAGATGTATTTAATACAATACATTGCTTCTTCCTTTTTTGTTGACTTTTTTATGAACGTTATCCCATTCAGGTATCATCATATGTCTTTGACATTTAGTAATTAATCTGGAAATTCTTTAATTCTTTATTTGAGAAAAGGTAAAAGTATAATAAATTAAATATTCTGATAAAAGATGACAATATGATAGAAAAGTATATATATATATATATATATATATATATATATATATATATATATATATATGATAAAATACATTTTAAGGTAGCTGTATTTATGAGTTAAAGTGCTCAATATCAGAGACAGAGCGTATGTAAATATAAAAGTAGACATCGAAGTCAACACCGAGAAGCGACAATCGGTTTCATGCTAAACGCAGTCGACCTGACGATTGTATTTGGCAAGAAACAGACTTTCGCCTATGGATGTTGACTTCAATGTTGATATATATATATATATATATATATATATATATATATATATATATATAATTACCCAGGTGTACACGGCTGCAATTGTATAATTGTATAATCGCACCCACCGTATACCCTCACTCCCTCCTTGTTTTATATTATTGCTATGGTCCGGTTCCTTGTACCACGTTGATAGACCAAGGTAGATACACCGGTTAATGAAATTTGATGAATAAAAAAGACAACAAAAGGATAGCAATATTATCAACAAGATTAATATTTATGATATATTGTCATTTTCACTAAACAGAAGCACGAAAGTCGGAATTCTCGGACACGCCTGTGACTTTTTCAACGAGACGAAGAATAAACAAATAAACAATATATATATATATATATATATATATATATATATATATATAACTGCAGATCATATATTATGAATGCGGAGGTCTGACCTTGGCGCTAGGATGTGACCTTTTTCTAAAAATATAGACTAAAACATGAGTACTAAAATGTTTTGATAGAAATAGTAAAATGCAAGAAAGTATTGTCTTGATATTTCTTCTGCTGTGGGGAATATGAAATTATGTTCTGCCAATATATGTTTTCTTGAATCGAAAATCGGTATTTGTTATCGTCATTCGAAACGGGACAAGAACGTCTCTTTCTGGGACTGTAACGATTGCGCCCATAAGCTACAAAGCAAGTCGATAAAACTGATGTACCAAACGCAAATCTAACAAAGATCAGTGATTTGTAAAACTAGCTTTGCTAGTCGTTGATCTAACGTCCAGGATTCCGACGAATGAGTTTTCGAGGATAGAAATGAAAAGTGGATAGAAATGAGAAGGAAGTCATGCGATTTCGAAAATAAACTCTTATCGAATGATTATCGTCTGTTTAAGTTTTTTCTTTTCATATCTGCAAAGATCAAGAGTACTTGAGAGTGGTAATTTGTAAAACTTTGATAATATCTTCGTCGTATAAATTCGAAGGGAACAAATTTTATCAGCATTTCTTCGGTATTTTATCGATATATATAAATGTTTTCTGTTATTATAATCAAATTCATTTCCCATAAAAAAATCATATATATTTGCATACAATTTAGAATAATTATCTCTTTCTTTCACCCTCTCTCTCTCTTTTATATATATATATATATATATATATATATATATATATATATATATATATATATATGTACACACATACACACACACATATATATGTAATAAATGCAGACATGTTGAAAAGCCATTCATAATAAATAAATATTTAAAGAGTTAAGCGACGAATTTTTTTGCTATTTTTGTTTTGAATGACCATTTAATGTGCATATTTTACTGAAGTAGTAAAGTTTAGAACACCTGCATATATATATATATATATATATATATATATATATATATATATATATATATATATATATATATATATATATATATATAGAGAGAGAGAGAGAGATAATATTTATTTTAAAATTTCTTTTTGAACTCTTTAAAACGTTTTATTTTATAATCAACGCCATCACTTGACAAGACGCCAGTAATTCTGACACAAAATGGTTATTTTTTGTAGTGATTTTATAACATATTTATGTTATAATTTTTTAAATAAATATTATTCGATCTACTCTTTAAATAAATATTACTCGATCTACTCTGAGATCTTTTATTGTAAAATAGTGCTTTTTTATAGGAAATTTATTGCGTTTAACCAACCCTGTTTTATATATATATATATATATATATATATATATATATATATATATATATATAAGTCCTTAGCTTCATTGCAGTTAAGTCGGCGGCGGAGAACCATCCGATGAATGAGGAAAGAGACGCGAAGGTTACGAGCAGCAATGCGGGCTGAAGAGCAGAGGACAGAGGAAATGAAGCCAATTCTGGAAGACAGATGGAAGCGCATTCCGCTTGGAACGGAACGGCTTGCCAGAAGTGGAAAGAAGGCTGCCAAGACCCGGAAGTCATTCACGGAAAGTCCGTTCCGCTTCACGAAGCAGTTGTTTAGGGAGAAGTCTAGCGAGGCGCTGAGCGTTGAGCAGGAGGAGCTGCAAAGACACCTTATGAGCACGTACTCTGATACCAGCAGTGAGGTCCCAGTGGAGGTGATGCCAGGTTTATTCAGGCCTGGCGCCCCGAATGTAGATTTTGATGAGTCTCCAGTGACTTGGACGGAGTTCCAAGGAGTTGTATGGTGGTCAAGAGCGTGTTCTGCGGATGGTCCTAATGGGGTAACATATGCTGACTACAAGAGGTGCCCCAGGCTGCTGAGGGGTTTGTGGAGGCCTCTTGTGAAGATTTGGAAAGTTGGTGATGTTCCGGACTGTTGGTGTCGAGATGACGGGGTGTATATACCGAAGGAGGAGAACTCCTTGACACTTAATGTCGCCCAATATCTCTTTCGAATGTTGAAGGAAAGGTGTTGTTTAAGGTGTTTGCCAGGTGACTAACTGGCTACCTGCTTGGGAATAACTATATTGACATTAGTATTCAAAAGGCAGGTGTCCTGGGGTTTCCGTGGTGCTTGGAACATGTGTCAATGATTGGGCGGTATGAGAAACTGGTGGCTGAAGTCCGTGAAAGAGGATACTGGTGCCGTTTGAGGTTGGCTGTAGAGGATTTCCTGCTGCTTCCTTAAAGAGATTCCTAAAGTGTTCAGGTATCCAAAAGCCGAATAAGGTGATAAAGACTTGTGGTGAAAAAGCGGTGAAAGTCAATGCCACCAGTTTCTCAGGACCATCTACCGAAACACAAAAAACAGAAAAAGAAATATTATCTGGTTTAACCCACCATACAAAAAAAAACTCGTCAAAACAAACATAGGAAGGGCATTCCTAAACTTAATAGAAAAGCACATCCCTAAAACAAACTGATTAGCAAAAATATTCAAAAAATAATGTTAAAATCAGTTACAGTTGCACAAAAAATATAACACATATAATAAAAATCCACAACAAAAAGTAACAACCTGCAATAATGTATAATAATACCTGCAAGGAATCTCAATGCAACTGCAAAAATAAAATATGTCCACTCCAAGGAAATTGCCAACAAACGAATATAATATATACAGCCAAGATAAGTGCAAACAACAGCACAATGCATTACATCGGTGCCAATGAGGGACAATTCAAGAAAAGAAGAAATAACCACGACCTTTCATTCTCTGACTGAAAATACTCAAACAGCACAACACTATCCACATACATATGACACGTAAAAGACAGAAATATTACACCAAGAATAAGCTGAAAAATATTGAAAAACGAAACTGCCGACAACAACATTATAAAGAAATGCCTACTTTGCCTAGACAAAAAGGTAGCAATAATTTCTCATACCCAACAAAAGAAATTACTAAACATAAGATCAAAAATAATTTCTAAATGCCGACATGAAAACAAATACCAATTATCACAATTTATGCCAAACGGATAAAAAAATACCAACCAACACTGCCACATAGACCTCCATTGACCCTATGAACATGAAAAGAGAAACCACTGAGACCAATGACACAATTATTTTCTAGTTGAAGCTACCATCATAATTAGTGTTATTACCATTCCACCACTATTACTACAATCACTTCTACCATTTTACAATATCTATTTGCAGATACAATTGTTATTATCATTACCCGCTCCCGCCATCATTACTACCGCAATACAATTACCATTGCCGCATTAGTCCAAAATTACTACTGAACCACAATTACCATTACCGTATTAGTCTACAAATATATTACTTCTCCCACCCCCAGCAAAATTAGTACGACTGCATAAATACTAATAAGTATTACAAATTGGAGTTTCTACCAATTTCATACGCGCAATCACCAAAAACTAGCAATAACCGGCTTTAAAATAACAAAAAAAGGATTAAAAACTAGAAATAATAGAAATTTACCGACCATAGTTTTACACAGATCACATCATACGTATATACGTGTGTGCAAGAAAACACTATTCAGCGAACAAATTAGACGAAAGATTTGCGCGTTGACAACAGACGAAAGATATTCGCTACACAATCCAACATTGTATACAGTGACCAAATGCGTACCTATGTACGCAATGATACATGGATGCGCATATATGCCCATCTCAAACTGTTCACAAAAGTTTATACTTGTGTGAGCGCCAATGAGTGAGCGTGCGTGTATGTATGGCTGCGTAAGTCAATGCTTGAACATGCGCGAATGCATGTTTGTGTAAGTATGAGTGGCGTTAGATCTATCACTGATATTGAGCGCTTTCTAATGAGTACCGCGCATATATAAAATATAAATAATATATATAAAATTATATATATATATATATATATATATATATATATATATATATATATATATATATACACATTATATATATATATATATATAAATTCCATTAATAATAAGATTATTTAAGTCTGATGAAGTCCTTTTGAGGACGAAATGCGTTATTTAGTTTTTATTTTGTTTCATCATCAATTATTTATCTGTAAAAAAGAAAAATTCACATATTCAGGTAAAAATTAAATAAAAACATCCTTAAAAACATTGTTAAAAGAATAGCCGAAAGCGCTTGTATATACAGAACATTGGATAATCCTTGCACACTTTATGTCTAGAAAAAATATACTTATACGATCACAAAAAAATGAAATAAAAATCTTAATCGTAATATCTTTTCAGTCATCTTTAATGAAATTTCATATATAAATATATATATATATATATATATATATATATATATATATATATATATATATCATAATTATTTTTTTTAAATATGATTCCATCGCGACACAGAAATTGATTACAGTTTCGAAATTAGCCCAAGTTATAAAGTTCAACGAAAGAAAAAAAAAAATACACTTCCATTTCCAACCAATAAATGAGTGAGTAAAATATTTCTTTAGTTAGTTATTCTAAGCATCGCTTGAGAATGAAACTGTACTCTATACTAATTTCTCTGTCACTATGGATCATATTCAAAAAGAAATAATCATAATTTTTAGCTCTACTTCTGTATCGAGCAGTGTACTAAAGAACTATCACTAATCTATTCTTTCCTCAATAAACATACACATACACACACACACACACATATATATATATATATATGTTAGTAGATATGTAGGTTTTACAAGTATGCCTACGTATTTAGAATACTTTATGATTGTGGTGCCCTCGTGTCTCGATGAAGAAATTGTGCATCGGTTTCCAGAATTCTTTATATAAAGAATTGTTTTCACTTACATAACTTGTAACGTTATTGTTTTTTGTTGTTTTTTGGGGTTTTTTTTTATTGTTGATTCTGCCAGTCTGTTTTTCATTGTCTCTACCCCTGAGACGAGGCTTTGTTGTCTTTTTCAATGAATTAATTTTATTAGTCATGTAATATTTAATCATCGTGACACTGTCTGGTCGGTAAGTTCTTCGGCTCCCCTCAGGAGTAGATTGCAACATGTGGCGCGTCACGTAGTACATCGAGTGTTACGTCTTTCACGTTCTACCCTCTCCTCATGATGAATACGTTTGTTTACATTTTTTGTTCATTTTCCTTTCGATCTCCTAATGTTTCTCTTTCATAGCCTTCTTCAAATCCACCATATGTGCTCCATCGCTTTTATCAAGTTACTTCCCGATTATTATTATTATTATTATTATTATTATTATTATTTTCTTTGATTTCTGGCGTTTACACATTTCTTTCTGGGTCCCGCCCAGAGACCTAAGGTTAGAAATGGCGTCATGACACTTTCCACTGACAAAAAAATTAAATTACATAGATAAAGCCCTTCGTAAGGTGTGGGCTGTACTTTTCAGAACAATTTTTTGTATCTCCTTGAGTCATGGATTTCCAGGAATCCCTTCAATTAGTCTACTGGAATCTTTTCCAACCAATCCTAGGACTCCAACTACAACAGGGATTGTTGATGTTCCCATATGCCACATTTTCGAGATTTCTATTTCAAGGTCCTTGTATTTTGACAACTTTTTGAATATCTTCAAAGATACATTGCAGTCAGCAGGGACTGCCATGTCAATAAGGAGGCACCGTTTTTGTTTGTGGTCTTTAATAACAATATCTGGCCGATTGGCCTTGATTGTTCTGTCAGTGTGTATTGTTTAGTCCCATAGAATTGTAACAGGTCCTATCTCCGTAACCGGGTCTGGGTGGTGTTCATACCAGTTTCTTTCAGTTTTCTTCCAGTAGAAGTTGCAGATTTTCCAGTGCAGATATTGGCCCACTCTGTCATGTCGGGTTTTATATTCACTGGGTGCCAACACCGTGCAACCTGATACAAGATGATCAATTGTTTCTGGATATTTATCACAGAATCTGCATTTTGGGCTGACACAATATTTTAGTATATGTGCTTGATAATTCCTAGTTAGCAAGCATTGATCCTGCGCAGCAAGGATAAAACCTTCAGTTTCAGCTTTCAACCCTGCACTACGTAGCCACTGATGGGTACGGGTTTTGTCTACGTCAGCTTGTTTGGTACGGGCAGAGTATTGGCCATGAAGCGGTTTATCTTGCCATTGTTTTTGTATCTGGTCGGTTGCATTCGTCTTTGCTGTCTTTTTTAGGTATTTTGCAGTTTCAGCCGGTCTATTGTGCTGTATTATTATTATTATTATTATTGTTATTATTAAGTGACTGCCGATACGGTCAACCTACGGGGTTTTTCGAACTGAACACTTTATTAAATCTACGGGAAAAGTAGATTGTTGCCGTCCCATTGCCTGTATCTATGGACATCTTGTCTTGTCCCTTTTTTTGTTTTTAGTACGGCTCAGTTATTGCTGACTTTCTTTCCATTTATATCTACTCCTCAAACCAGCGTTTATTATACCACACAATACATGGGTCAGGATTTTATTCCAGAACTTAGAACTGGTAATGCTATTCAGGTGTAAATACCTCCCACATATACTCCCCAGAAATACCTGCCGCATATACCTTCCACATAATTCTAAGGAATTAGCGAGATGAATACTCTATTGTCACTCTGGTATTTCTTGTAGGTATTTATTAAAGGTATTTTGTGACATATATATGTGAGGTATTTCTAAAATATATATGTGTGAGGTATTTCCAAGAAGTATATG